AGTTAACTAACCCAAACTAAACTCTTTTAGCTGCTAAAACAAACCATTAGCTAACCTTAATTTAACTCCTAAAGTAAACAGTTAACTAACCCAAACTAAACTCTTTTAGCTGCTAAAGTAAACAGTTAACTAACTCAAACTAAACTCTTTTAGCTGCTAAAACAAACCATTAGCTAACCTTAATTTAACTCTTAGCTGCTAAACTAAACAGTTAACTAACTCAAACTAAACTCTTTTAGCTGCTAAAACAAACCATTAGCTAACCTTAATTTAACTCCTAAAGTAAACAGTTAACTAACCCAAACTAAACTCTTTTAGCTGCTAAACTAAACAGTTAACTAACTCAAACTAAACTTTTAGCTGCTAAAACAAACCATTAGCTAACCTTAATTTAACTCCTAAAGTAAACAGTTAACTAACCCAAACTAAACTCTTTTAGCTGCTAAAGTAAACAGTTAACTAACTCAAACTAAACTCTTTTAGCTGCTAAAACAAACCATTAGCTAACCTTAATTTAACTCTTAGCTGCTAAACTAAACAGTTAACTAACTCAAACTAAACTCTTTTAGCTGCTAAAACAAACCATTAGCTAACCTTAATTTAACTCCTAAAGTAAACAGTTAACTAACCCAAACTAAACTCTTTTAGCTGCTAAAACAAACCATTAGCTAACCTTAATTTAACTCCTAAAGTAAACAGTTAACTAACCCAAACTAAACTCTTTTAGCTGCTAAAACAAACCATTAGCTAACCTTAATTTAACTCTTAGCTGCTAAACTAAACAGTTAACTAACTCAAACTAAACTCTTTTAGCTGCTAAAACAAACCATTAGCTAACCTTAATTTAACTCCTAAAGTAAACAGTTAACTAACCCAAACTAAACTCTTTTAGCTGCTAAACTAAACAGTTAACTAACTCAAACTAAACTTTTAGCTGCTAAAACAAACCATTAGCTAACCTTAATTTAACTCCTAAAGTAAACAGTTAACTAACCCAAACTAAACTCTTTTAGCTGCTAAAACAAACCATTAGCTAACCTTAATTTAACTCCTAAAGTAAACAGTTAACTAACCCAAACTAAACTCTTTTAGCTGCTAAAACAAACCATTAGCTAACCTTAATTTAACTCTTAGCTGCTAAACTAAACAGTTAACTAACTCAAACTAAACTCTTTTAGCTGCTAAAACAAACCATTAGCTAACCTTAATTTAACTCCTAAAGTAAACAGTTAACTAAACTCTTTTAGCTGCTAAAACAAACCATTAGCTAACCTTAATTTAACTCCTAAAGTAAACAGTTAACTAACCCAAACTAAACTCTTTTAGCTGCTAAAACAAACCATTAGCTAACCTTAATTTAACTCCTAAAGTAAACAGTTAACTAACCCAAACTAAACTCTTTTAGCTGCTAAAACAAACCATTAGCTAACCTTAACTAAACTCTTTTAGCTGCTAAAACAAACCATTAGCTAACCTTAATTTAACTCCTAAAGTAAACAGTTAACTAACCCAAACTAAACTCTTTTAGCTGCTAAAACAAACCATTAGCTAACCTTAATTTAACTCCTAAAGTAAACAGTTAACTAACCCAAACTAAACTCTTTTAGCTGCTAAAGTAAACAGTTAACTAACTCAAACTAAACTCTTTTAGCTGCTAAAACAAACCATTAGCTAACCTTAATTTAACTCTTAGCTGCTAAACTAAACAGTTAACTAACTCAAACTAAACTCTTTTAGCTGCTAAAACAAACCATTAGCTAACCTTAATTTAACTCCTAAAGTAAACAGTTAACTAACCCAAACTAAACTCTTTTAGCTGCTAAAACAAACCATTAGCTAACCTTAATTTAACTCCTAAAGTAAACAGTTAACTAACCCAAACTAAACTCTTTTAGCTGCTAAAACAAACCATTAGCTAACCTTAATTTAACTCTTAGCTGCTAAACTAAACAGTTAACTAACTCAAACTAAACTCTTTTAGCTGCTAAAACAAACCATTAGCTAACCTTAATTTAACTCCTAAAGTAAACAGTTAACTAACCCAAACTAAACTCTTTTAGCTGCTAAACTAAACAGTTAACTAACTCAAACTAAACTTTTAGCTGCTAAAACAAACCATTAGCTAACCTTAATTTAACTCCTAAAGTAAACAGTTAACTAACCCAAACTAAACTCTTTTAGCTGCTAAAACAAACCATTAGCTAACCTTAATTTAACTCCTAAAGTAAACAGTTAACTAACCCAAACTAAACTCTTTTAGCTGCTAAAACAAACCATTAGCTAACCTTAATTTAACTCTTAGCTGCTAAACTAAACAGTTAACTAACTCAAACTAAACTCTTTTAGCTGCTAAAACAAACCATTAGCTAACCTTAATTTAACTCCTAAAGTAAACAGTTAACTAAACTCTTTTAGCTGCTAAAACAAACCATTAGCTAACCTTAATTTAACTCCTAAAGTAAACAGTTAACTACCCAAACTAAACTCTTTTAGCTGCTAAAACAAACCATTAGCTAACCTTAATTTAACTCCTAAAGTAAACAGTTAACTAACCCAAACTAAACTCTTTAGCTGCTAAAACAAACCATTAGCTAACCTTAACTAAACTCTTTTAGCTGCTAAAACAAACCATTAGCTAACCTTAATTTAACTCCTAAAGTAAACAGTTAACTAACCCAAACTAAACTCTTTTAGCTGCTAAAACAAACCATTAGCTAACCTTAATTTAACTCCTAAAGTAAACAGTTAACTAAACTCTTTTAGCTGCTAAAACAAACCATTAGCTAACCTTAATTTAACTCCTAAAGTAAACAGTTAACTAACCCAAACTAAACTCTGTTAGCTGCTAAACTAAACAGTTAACTAACTCAAACTAAACTCTTTTAGCTGCTAAAACAAACCATTAGCTAACCTTAATTTAACTCCTAAAGTAAACAGTTAACTAACCCAAACTAAACTCTTTTAGCTGCTAAAGTAAACAGTTAACTAACTCAAACTAAACTCTTTTAGCTGCTAAAACAAACCATTAGCTAACCTTAATTTAACTCTTAGCTGCTAAACTAAACAGTTAACTAACTCAAACTAAACTCTTTTAGCTGCTAAAACAAACCATTAGCTAACCTTAATTTAACTCCTAAAGTAAACAGTTAACTAACCCAAACTAAACTCTTTAGCTGCTAAAACAAACCATTAGCTAACCTTAATTTAACTCTTAGCTGCTAAACTAAACAGTTAACTAACTCAAACTAAACTCTTTTAGCTGCTAAAACAAACCATTAGCTAACCTTAATTTAACTCCTAAAGTAAACAGTTAACTAACCCAAACTAAACTCTTTTAGCTGCTAAAACAAACCATTAGCTAACCTTAATTTAACTCTTAGCTGCTAAACTAAACAGTTAACTAACTCAAACTAAACTCTTTTAGCTGCTAAAACAAACCATTAGCTAACCTTAATTTAACTCCTAAAGTAAACAGTTAACTAAACTCTTTTAGCTGCTAAAACAAACCATTAGCTAACCTTAATTTAACTCCTAAAGTAAACAGTTAACTAACCCAAACTAAACTCTTTTAGCTGCTAAAACAAACCATTAGCTAACCTTAATTTAACTCCTAAAGTAAACAGTTAACTAACCCAAACTAAACTCTTTTAGCTGCTAAAACAAACCATTAGCTAACCTTAACTAAACTCTTTTAGCTGCTAAAACAAACCATTAGCTAACCTTAATTTAACTCCTAAAGTAAACAGTTAACTAACCCAAACTAAACTCTTTTAGCTGCTAAAACAAACCATTAGCTAACCTTAACTAAACTCTTTTAGCTGCTAAAACAAACCATTAGCTAACCTTAATTTAACTCCTAAAGTAAACAGTTAACTAACCCAAACTAAACTCTTTTAGCTGCTAAAACAAACCATTAGCTAACCTTAATTTAACTCTTAACTACTGAAGTAAACAGTTAACTAACCCAAACTAAACTCTTTTAGCTGCTAAACTAAACAGTTAACTAACTCAAACTAAACTCTTTTAGCTGCTAAAACAAACCATTAGCTAACCTTAATTTAACTCCTAAAGTAAACAGTTAACTAACCCAAACTAAACTCTTTTAGCTGCTAAAACAAACCATTAGCTAACCTTAACTAAACTCTTTTAGCTGCTAAAACAAACCATTAGCTAACCTTAATTTAACTCCTAAAGTAAACAGTTAACTAAACTCTTTTAGCTGCTAAAACAAACCATTAGCTAACCTTAATTTAACTCCTAAAGTAAACAGTTAACTAACCCAAACTAAACTCTGTTAGCTGCTAAACTAAACAGTTAACTAACTCAAACTAAACTCTTTTAGCTGCTAAAACAAACCATTAGCTAACCTTAATTTAACTCCTAAAGTAAACAGTTAACTAACCCAAACTAAACTCTTTTAGCTGCTAAATCATCAGCTAACCCAAACTTAACTCTTTTAACACAAAACTAAAGCTGCAGGTCCTGCAGGTTTATTAGATAACCGGAGAATAAAAACTTAAAAGAGAAATAATTTATTCCTTTGCTCTCAAATAAAGTTATTTGTAATTATGGAGTCAGGGTAAAATATTGAGATAAAACTTTTTAGAGATTAAAGTGGTAAACTAATGAGATGAAGAGTTGTCTGCAGTTCTTTCCCAATTCAAGTTGTTAATCACAAAGGAGGAAAATACTATTTTACAGATGGACTTATTACAGGCTCCTAACTAAAGCAGGTTATACAGATGTTAATTAAAGTGCCACCTTTTTCTTCTATGTTTGCACCGTCACTGTTTTTTCTCTCGTAAATTTACCACTTTAATATCAATGAATATCCAGACACTTTTTTCCCCCCTAATATGCTGTCATAGTTTACGGTCTCCATCTCTACAGGACAAAAATTAAACGATCATTATTATTTGTGTTTGTTTGTGGACCAGGAGCAAAGAAAACACGAACGCCTACAACAACCTGGTGATTGACAGCACTGATGACAAAGTTACCTCCATGTGACTTTCCTGCATTGATTCTATTGGCTGTCTGAACGTTATCTTCACCAACTCTGGACGGAGAGACACAAAACACAGAAAATTATTTTTTAGAGAAACACGTACATTTTACAGATTTTTAAAATGTTGTCTTTGTTTCGTCGTACCTTTTGTCTCTTTATTAATTAATAATTAATTTACTTACACACTTCTGTGACCGTTTTCATTTTATCTTCAAATGCAGCAAGATTACATGAATTATCAATATATTAGTTGTTGTTTTTCAGACTGTTTGAATGGTCTACAGTTGCCTCTTGATGCAGAGATTCAGAGCAGTAAACAAGAGGAAAAGCAGCCGTCGCCTGTGATCTTTGTGCTCATTAATAAGTTATCTTTTCTAACAAACTGCTGTGTCGGCTCTCATTACTGATCAATGAAGGAATGACCTGTGATTAATAATTAAACACTCAGCAGTAAAGTCTCATTATACAGTGCCTGCAATAACAGCAGCGAGAGGGTGTTTGGATAAGTGCTGGCGCTGCCACACACATGTAGTCATTTTTTCCCCCTGTGTGCGAAGTAATTGTTTGATTTTATTACAGCAGCTGCTTTAGTGGAGCATTATGGAAAATTAACTCCAGGAACATGCTTAAGCTTTTCAGAAAGGCAGTTTGTGCAGAGCCTAAGCCCCTCCCCTTCCATTGGACCACTATGGACCTTATTTTGGAAAAAATAAGTTCAGTAGTCAACAGCGAGAGACAACAAATGTTTTGATCCCTTTTGAATTGTACCCTGAATTACACACATTAGTCAGTTTAAAAGAAAATGTCTAAAAAGTTGTGTATGTGACGCATGTGGGAACCTCCGTGTCTGAAAAGTGAAGCCAGTACTTAAGTAACTTAAACCTGCGTCCTCTCCAGCAGCCAGCAGGGGGCGACTCCAGCGGCTGCAGAAAGAAAATGTTTCTACTTGTCAGCTGATTTATTCCCTCAGTAAACACCTTCCTGATGAGTTTCTGGTCTCAGTCGCTAGTTTCAAGTCTTCTTCAACACAGCATGATGTTCATTTAGTAAATTATGGTCCCATTTAGAGGAACAGAGACCAGGAAGCAGGGAGGCTTTAGGGCGGGGCTACAAGCTGATTGACAGGTTGCTACCATGGCGACCTGTCAATCAGGATAGAGGCGACTCATATCCGCTGCTCTGTGTACATTTAACCAGCTCTGCTGAAAGTGAGTACGTTTTGTTTGAAGGTTGTTTGTCGCTAGCTAAAATTAGCATCCCAGCTAATATCACAGTTAATGTGAATTACAGATGCACCTTGCTAACCAAGCTAGCTAGCTCCACCCTCTCGACCAAATATGGTCACGTCTGGTTCCAAAAAACAAGATGGTGACGGCCAAAATGACAAACAGAACAGCGGCCCACAAACCAACAGGGGACGTCACAGTGACTACGTCCTATGTGATGTCATAACTTTATGTCTTAGTTACTGACACTAACACCTGTCACAATGTAAGGCCATCACGCCCAGGATGTAAACATACAAGCAACGTGGCCGGGCTTATATTGATTTTCACCTCTAATATTTTTCCCCTCATTCTGGAAGAAAGAGTTGACTGTATCAAAAACTTAGTTGTCGCTTGCCGTTGACTCACGTACATATTTTAGAAATAAGGTCCCATGTGGCAAAGGGCTCCATTAGGCTCTATTGAAGTGAATGAGAAACTCTAACTTATCACTACAAACACACACTCAAGCTTCCCCCCCCCAAACGCGATCACTGGAAAACGAGTGTCTGTAAAAAGGCAAATATATTTTTACCTCCCGAATTGACTCAGGCAGCTGGCTCAGACGAAGGAAGTTGCGGGCGTGCAAACGTGGAAAACTGGTTAGTTCACCTTGCATGTAGTATCAGCCCCTTAGAAACCTGAAGGCCACCCATCCAACAAAGGTTCTGGAACTGAAGAAGTCTCTTGAATGAGGGACGAAACGTCTTCTAGTATCTTCTACCATGACCTGGATGACTGAGAACCTTCACAGACATCTTACTGGGCCACCGGTTGTTCCTCTGGATCGGGTCTGATGAGGAAAACATAAAACAAACAGATTTTAAAGTTCAGGAAGACTCCAGAAAGGCAGATGGTGCCGTCTCTACATTTTAATAAAACACAGATCAGTTAGCAACAGATGATTAATAATCAGAACAGACAGAAAAAACATTCACAACACATTTTCACAGCTCGTTCAACACCCAATCAGAGAGCCTCTTTTGGATCAATGCGTCTGAAATGGAGTGAAGCTCCTCTGTTTGGGGAAAGTCGACAAATCAGTTGGTCTCGACAATAAAAACCTGGTTCAACATGTGAAATACAACCTACAGTTACAGCTTGATGTTAAAACAAAGAAAGAAGTCTGTAAAACCCCCCAAATGCTGCTCACCATAAAGTCATTAGCTCTAGTCTGAGCTTTAGGTTGGGGTCTATTTTCTTAATGTTAAAGATAAAACTGTAAAAGTTACTGTTTTTGGAGCCAGGGAGGTCAGTGCTCAGCTTCAATCTGTAATGTTAAAGAGGTCTGCTCATTTTCAGGTTCAAAATCTTAATTAGGGGTTGTACCAGAACAGGTTTACATGGTTTAATTTTTAAAAAACACCATATTTTTCTCATCCTGCACATTGCTGCAGCTCCTCTTCTCACCCTGTGTGTTGGACGCTCCGCTCTTGAGCTACAGAGTGATGCATCTTGTACAAAATCTTTGTTGGGAGTTGCACATGCGCAGTTCCCAGGTAAGGACTACTAGCCAATCAGAAGCAGAGAAGGGCGGGTCGTAAGAAACAAGGTAGTGTGATCCAAATCAAAGCCGCTTCAGAATGTAACCTAGCAGATGGTAGAAGTTACTCTCAAGTCCACAACATCATTGTTCCACATCTTACAATAACCCACTACAAAAATCACCATATTTCAACTCTATTTTACATAAAAATTGGCCAAACGTTTGCTCCGTAGCTTTCACATCAGGTGTAACATCATAGCTTAACTTTAGCTGTGTTAGCCAACGTTTACAACAACTCCGCTCTTGAACAGCCTGAAGTTACATTGCCGTGTTTATTTTAAATATAATTCCCAACCAATAAAGCAAACTTACAGGTTGTGTTTGTGAATTTCCAGAGTTGCATCGTCTTTTAGGACTAAAACGTTGAACTGTTGCCGGTGTTCTGACGATCTCTGCTGCCTTGCCGAAAAATGCGACCATAGCGCAAATCGATAGACTCGACTCTACTCTACCTGCTCCGTTTTCCACTGCAGACAGTACCCAGAGATAGTACGCAGCCTGACGTCATAGCGACGCCACACAACGGCCATGACGTAATGTTCAATGCAACACACACACCAGCGATCCAAACAGCTTTCTCTTTTTTAAGAGAAACCTTCCTCAGAATGTAAAGACAGATAAGCGGTATGAAAACCTTCCAGCTGTGTTTTCCTCTGCCGTTGTTGCTGCAGCGGTCTGTGTGACGGCGGGAGCAGAGGGCTCTGTGAGCGGCCGGCTGGCCGGCCTCACACGCTCCTCCCGCGGGTCACAGCAGGCTTCCCCCGCCGCCACAACTACAAAAATATTCAAGCACATTTTTGTTCCGCCATCACTTCTCGTGAAACTGTCAGTATTGTAAATCTACACAGCTGATTTCACCTCAAAACTTCTCAGAAGTGGATTTAATGATGAAATAATGTATGAAAACTAAAATATAAAACTTCCTGTTGCCTCTGTCTGGTGCAATGATGATGCAGTGAAAAGTGATGATTCTCTCTGACCAATAGTTTCCCTCAGCTCGCTCGGAACCTCGACAGAGGGGATATGAAAAAAAGTACCTGGAAGCAGGAACAACATTTCTACAATGGAAAACCAAACAAAGGCGAGTGGAGCCAAAGGGCCTCCGCTCAGACTAGCTTGGTTTGAGGGCGTGTCTGACCCCGCTAGCCGCTTGGCGAGCTTTATGACGCGTTTTCATTGTGACGTCACAAGTAAAGGAAGTGAAGGGCTGGACTACAAACCAGCTGTTTTCAGTTCAGAGCAGAGTTTTCTGTGGGAGATGGGAACTCACTTTGGGCTTTTTCACTTTGCAAAGCTGTTACAGCACAAAAAAGAGAAAAAACTCAAAAAAGGAGAGGGGAAAAGCTAAATAGCAGAATACCACCTCTTTAAGAACCACAAATCAAGCCAGAAATCTTTGTGTAGTCATGGACTCAGACCTGAATTTGAGGAGCCACATTAAGACAATTACAAAGTCAGCCTACTATCACCTGAAGAATATATCAAGGATTAAAGGACTCAGCAGGACCTGGAAAAACTTATCCATGCATTTATCTTCAGTGGACTCGACTACTGTAACAGTGTCCTTACAGGCTCCCTAAGAAATCCAGACAGCTGCAGCTGATTCAGAACGCTGCTGCTCGAGTCCTCACTAAGACCAAAAAGGTGGATCACATCAGTCCAGTTCTGAGGTCTTTACATTGGCTTCCTGTATGTCAAAGAATTGATTTCAAAATCCTGCTGTTAGTTTATAAAGCACTAAATGGTTTAGGGCCAAAATACATTTCTGATCTTCTGCTTCGTTACGAACCATCCAGACCTCTCAGGTCGTCTGGGGCAGGTCTGCTTTCTGTCCCCAGAGTCAAAACTAAACAAGGAGAAGCAGCGTTCAGTTATTATGCTCCGTATACAGTCAGGTCCATAAATATTGAGACATCGACGCAATTCTAATCTTTTTGGCTCTATACTCCACCACAATGGATTTTAAATGAAACGAACAAGATGTGCTTTAACTGCAGACTTGGCCAGGTGTGTGTTATTCCCTCATTATCCCATTTACAAGGAGCAGATAAAAGGTCTAGAGTTCATTTCAAGTGTGCTATTTTCTATTTATTTGCTATTTGCTATTTATCAGTGAAGCAAGACTGAAAAATCAAAACAAACCCAGCAGAGAGATAGCAAAAACATTAGGTGTGGCCAAATCAACTGTGAGCTCAGCAACACCAAAAGACCCGGAAGACCACGGAAAACAACTGTGGTGGATGACCGAATAATTAAAATAATAATATAATAATAATAATAATAATAATAAAAAGATTAGAATTGTGTCGATGTCCCAATATTTATGGACCTGACTGTATCTGGAACAAACTCCCAGATAACTGCAGGTCTGCTGAAACTCTTCTTTTAAATCAAGACTGAAGACTTTGCTTTTTACTGCTGCTTTTAATTAAATTAAACCTTTCACTGCACTGTAACGTCCGGTTTTCATTGTCTTTGTTTTCAGATATTCAGTGCCCTGCACTGTAGATTTTACTGTCCTATTTTACCCGGTTTTTAAAATGTGTAGTTTTATTTTTTCAATTTCCCTTTGTTGTTTTTATGTTTAATGTAAAGCACTTTGAATTGCCTTGTTGCTGAAATGTGCTATACAAATAAACTTGCTTTGCCTTACAGAGTGAGTCAACGAGAATCGGGGGACATCCCGCAGGTAGCAACAGACGAAAGAGCACAGGGAAGACCAGGAGGCCGCCGTACAGATGTCGTCCACTGTGCAACGCCACTCGTGGAGTGCGCCCTGATGGCGTCCAGGGGACACACAGGCCTGTGGGATAGCCTCGCACAGACAGTGATACAGGTGCTGCGAACAGGCGCTGTGAAGGCGCCAGGTGGCCGTGCGCACTACATAGCAGAAAAGCGTGCGCACCGGGCGGAGGAGGTGAGATGTAGCTTCATCCTCAGACCCATGGGGGGGAGGAAAGAAGCCGGGAGGGTAATCACCTGTGATCAGAAGGAGCTGGTGATGCTCTGAGGCGTGAAAGCAGTATTAGGACAGCAGAGCTGCCGTCACCCTGGATCAGGAGACACAACGGAGCCACAGAGAGGGCAGCCAGATCGCTGACCCTCTTGGCCGACGTCAGAGCCACGAGTAGAGTGACCTTAGTCGAAAGGAACCGCAGAGCCGCTGTATCCAAGGGCTCGAAAGGCGCTTGGGTCAGGACCCGTAAAACTGCACCTCCTTCAGGAAACGCTTCACCAGCAGGTGAGTGAACACCGTCCTGTCACCGAACCGTACTGAAGGCCAGACCTCTGTCCGTGAGCAGAAGGTCAGGAGGGTCGCGCTCGCGGCGGGGGAAGAAGGATCGTGGGTACTGTCATGCGTAGCCAGCCACCGAAAGGATTATCTAAAGTCACAAACGAAGTCATCTTAACCCTCTCCCTTTTTTCCACGTTGCCTTTTGACCCTGCCATTGTATCATCAACATCATTCATTAATTTAGTCACTTCAAAGCTTCACGCCAAAGCCGTGGTGCCATTATACTCACTCTGCATGTTTTACGTTTAATGTCCACTTGATGGCGCACTAGAGCAAATGACGCCCCGTGAAGCTTCGGCCCACGAGTGAATCAACTTGATGCAAAGCTTGTTTATGAATATAAAACAACTGATTATCCAAATACTTGCCGATTAATTTTACCTTCGTCAACTAATCAATTTCTCTCTCTTGCGTGCAGAGTTTTGTGTGCATGCCGTACTGCCGACAGCTGCCTGCACCTCGCGGGTCTATTTCAAGTAGCCAGCTGTTTAAAAACGATAAAATATTCTCTGTGTGGTTCATCAACGGTGATAAATTATCCAAACGTCCCGCGGGGTGCGAACAACTCGGCACAACACCAGTGAAGCTGGAGCTCCGTCTCTTCAGCAAGTGTTCCTCTTCCGCCGCTGCACACATCCACGCTACGCCTACACGTGCGCACTGACGCCCCAGGGTTAGGGTTACAATTTAGGATTTATTTACGCACTTTAAAAACATTTATTGAAAGTTTTATTCTTTTCACATATTTATTTACAGCATTAAACGTTGAAATGTTTATTGTAACAGGCTGTATATTAACTTATTGGGAGAAAACTGGTAGTTCTGTGTAAAATCAGCACCCCCATATCACCAAAATGGCGTGATCCTCGTTTCGCTGCGAAGCTTCGACTGTGAGATTGACAGTTGAATCAGGCTCCGCCCATCGAAGCATCGAATCTTCGACCTTTCGGGGTCAGGCCTAATCTCTACATGTCGGCATTGGCCTTAATATTTTGTTAAAGCTTTATAAAATAGAGAATTTGAGACATTGACATTGCCCTTTTAAAATAATGATCACTCATCACGGAAAACTTTTTATATATATATATATATATATATATATATATATATAGATAGATATTTTAACATTAGACAACAATTTTAGTCTAATAGTATACTGTTAATATGTTAAAAGTATAAAATTAATTCCAGTTGGACAAAACAGTTTCATGTTTTCAGTCATTAAATACTTGTGCAAGAAAAATGGTCTACTTAATTTGTTAATGCTACTATCTCAACAATAATCAGAATCATTCATGCAGGAGTTCAACATCTGAAAGTTTACTGTAGCAGGTCAAACTGTTTTTATGTCCCGCCCCCCTCCAGTCTGTGATTGGTCAGTTTACGAAAAGGGAAATTAAAGGCTCGTGCAGACTAGACGTCTTTCAGCGTCGGCCGATGGCCGTGCCGTTCACACTACACAACTTGGCGTCTTGTTTAAGGGAATTCTTGAAGGAGTTCACACTTGACTGATCGGTGACAGGGGCACGCACACTACACGAGCTGACAGCGACTCTGTCACCTGACGCTGGTCTCCAAACCACGTTTGGTCAAGAAAACACGTGAAATGTGAAACGGGAAATGACGCAACACTACACACGAAACCGCTGCTGTTTATTATTATTATAAAGACAAAAAATGTACCCGCGATCAAAGCCCGACTGTCGTCAGTGTGAAGTCGGCTTAACGAGCACATCGATTTTATGAAAAGTTGAATATGTTTCAACAAAAGGCACCTGATGAGCTTACAGCCAGCTTACCAAACTCACAACCTCCTTATCTTCTCCGTGCTGACATTTTTGTAACCAAGCGCGATGTTTTGAATGATTAGCGGCACGGCGGGCAGGGTGGCGGGGGGATTATTGTAGGTTGTATAGTTACGGTAGTTACTTGCACATTGTGCTCGTAAGTCGATTTTTAGGGGCATATGCATATGGGCAAAATGGTCGCACTATAGAGCCCTGTGCATGAAGCATTGCTGTAAAAAACTTTCTCGCGCTGTTATTTTGTAGGCACAATCACTTAAGAGGAAGTGATTATGTGAGTAACTGCTGTCATGACTGAGATCTGTTTCAGCACCAGACGCTATCAGTTCCCATCCATCGTCAACCGTTTATCCTGCGTACAGGCGGGGGGCTGGAGCCAATCCCAGCTTACATTGGGCGAAAGGCGGGGTACACCCTGGACAGATCGCCAGTCCATCGCAGGACGCTATCAATTTATTTATTTTATGTGATTTTTTTAATTTATATTTTTCTGCAATCGCGCCGCCTGTTCCCGGACGCTGCCTTAGATATTACACTGGGGTTATCTCTTGATAGATAAGACTAGTTTTCCTCCTACAGCAGCCTCTTCTGTGTGTTCCGGGATCAAAGATCATGTTTACTGTGTGGATGTTAATCATCCACAAGAGAAAGTTGAAGACTTGTGAATAATTTACAGGTTTTCTTTCAGTTTTTGCGTCGGTGATTATTCTACCGAAGCTGAAGCACCGATGTAGTTCCCCGGTTAATCTGGTCTGAAGGTATGTAATGTTTCCACAATACCTCTTGCTTAAAGAAAAACATTGCACTGTTTGCATATTTTAAGCTGTAAGCTGATTTTATTTGGAGGCAGGAGGTAAAACTATAATAAGGAAGTGACCTGTATCCCTTTACCACAGACACAAAACTGCGGGATGATCGTTAGTGCTCAAATAGTGTTGCTCTGCTTTCTCCGCTGCATTGTTCATTACCTAACAACACGTCCTCATACCTAAACGACAAAATAAGTCAATTGTCCAGTGCCCCAAACATTGAAAAACACAACCACATATATGAACGTTTCCGAAAACGACATATACGAGCGTTGGCAAGTACAAGTCCGGCAAATGGCTTACTGGACCTTCAGTGACCTAAGTCACCTGATGTTTGTCATGTAGTAAACGGCCGTAGTTTGTTTAGGTTAAGGCAACAAGACTACTTGTTCAGGGTTTGAAAAGGATCGTGGTTTCAACATGTGAAGAGTAAGCATGTCCAAAACATGGAGACCTCCTCAGTATATCTTTTTTTTTAGTTTATCGTCATCACATTTACAGTCACAGGTGTAGTGAAGGTGTCGGGACGACATTCAGTTGCATTATTATCTGCAAGGTCTTGTTTGTAATGCTGATATTGCCTTTGAAATTTAGATTTTCTTCTGGAATGGTAAGATAAATGGATTTACTTACAATAAATTCATATGGTTTAGCTTCTTGCCTATCAAAGGAGACCAGAAATATGCCTACAGGCCTAATGGTTGAGTTATACCCAATTCATTTTGGGTATGTTACTTTAGTTTTGTTTTTCCTGGTGAAAGGGCAACGGTTAAAGAAGTTTTTAATGAGCAGCAATGCATGCACACCACTGCAAGTCTTTTGAATTGGCTCACGTCGTCCCTTCAGCCTCTGTCTCATGCTCCTTTTCTGTTTGTTTACTGCATTTCAGTTAATAAAACATGAACCACTCACCGGCTGAGCCTCGACCAAAGATTGAAACATGGACCAAAGAAGACGTCCACCAGTGGCTGATGGCCGAGGTCAAAGTTAATCGGAGTTGTGCAGACTTATTTGTTGAAGAGGACGTGTCAGGAGAAGTTCTATTTGCTCACCAAAAGAAAGATATTTTAGATTTAGGAGTAAAACATGGTCCTGCTGTCAAAATCACATCTTATCTAGAAAAAATGAAGACAGGATCACAACATGAGTCAGAGTTCCCAGCTGGTGTGAAAAACTGGACAAAGGAGCAAGTGGCCGAGTGGTTACTGCAGCACGGGAAGGTCGATGGCAGGAAGGCAGAACGATTCAAAGAGGAAGACGTGTCTGGAGATTGCCTCGTTTGCTTCGGGAAGCAGGATTTCCTGGATCTGGAGCTGAAAAAGGGTCCTGCTGTAAAGATTCTGAAAGAGCTGGATCAACTGAAAAATAAACCAGAGCCGACACCGTGTCGCGTCCTTCCTATCGCACAGCGCAAAATGAATCTCTGCAGAAAAATCTGCCTCCGGAGAAACCACCAAAACAGAAGAAAACTCCTAAAGAGGTGGAGGCACTAACGCCACAAGGGAAGACAAAAGAAACAGCTGAGGTAAAATTCAACGTTGTATATCATTTACAAACAACATAATACTGCCAGCTACTTAAAAAAGAAGTCAAAAACACTTAGTATTGCTGCCACTGTATTTGTTGTGCATTTAAAGTCAAATTAAAAGCATGTACATTAAGTCTTTTACAGAAACATCTGCCAAACAGTAGAGATTAAATAATAAAGAGATAAACATAAAGGGAGAAAAGGCCGGCTTGGGGTATGTTATGTAGGTCACGTATAGACTGGCTTCTTTTATACAAACACTCCTGGATGTGCAGCCCGGGGGCAAAAGCTCTTCGGTAGCCGGTCATAAGACCGTAGTCAACGTAGGTTGCGCATTGTTTGTCAATTCTTGTTGACTTAATAATCAACTGCCATTTCAGAGTTGGATCTGTTTGTTTGTGTTTCATTTTGCATATTAATATAACAGCACGACCGCGCTGCAGGTCACCCAACACCATGGGGACCCGAGTTAGACTTAAGTCGCACACACAGTGACTTCAGACTCGACTTGAGACTCGTCCTCAAAAGACTTCAGACTCGACTCGGACTCGAGGTGCGGGACTCGTGAACAATGTTTATTAAACGTCTGATGAGCGTGCCGTTATTCCCTCCCTGCGTTATCTATAACCTGCCTACGTAACACGTAGAATCAGCTGCGCGTATTAAAGCTTTGGCTTTAAAACTTCATACAACAAGACCCAAATAAAGAAACGCTGAACGCAACATTTAGGTTAGTAAATCTGAGGTTAATGAACATGTTTAGCTCAGCATTGACCATCTAACGTTAGCTTGCTTCTTGCTTCAGCTACGACCTACGGGAGGTTTAAGATGAATGAGCGTTTGTTTACTTGCCAAACTTCATTTACGTCCCGCTGGCTGCCATCACGTTAATTATTACCGTCGGCTGCAAACCGGTTACAGGTTTATTGTTGATCATGTAACGTCACAGTTTTATTTAGTTATAACGTTGCACTGGGTTTGACAGTCTGCAGGGTGTGTTGACTTACAGTAGTTAATAAGCCATTAATAATAAGTCATTAATTGCATTGCACATCACATGGTTGTGCTCTGTAAGTGAAAAACAGGTTACAGTTACAGAATCCCTTTATAGCTCTGCAGTTTTATAAGCAGCCTGGATTGAACGCAGCAGCTGATATAACATTCATTATAACCACCAGAGACTTGACTTGGACTCTAGCTCAGAGACTTCAGAGCATCTCTGAGCGACACCGGACGTAATGTTGTTCAAGTCAGCTGCTCACAGCTACTAACGTGGGGGGTGGTGATGGAGCAGTGGATAAGACACATGCTTTTGGTGTGAGAGACCCGGGTTCAACTCCACATGGTAACCGATCCACCACTGTGTCCCTGAGCAAGACACTTAACCCCTTGTTGCTCCAGAGGCGTGCGACCTCTGACATGTATAGCAGCTGTCGCTTTGGATAAAAACGTTAGCTTAATGAATAAATGTAATGTTACTGCCTGTGAGGCGCCCACTTGGCAGGACAGAGTGGCGTTGAGCGACGTTTTGTAAAAGCACTGAATACTTCTCTCATAAACGCATGTGCAAAACAGTAACGTTAGTTCAAAAGTCGAGACTCTTGCTTAATTTTTTTGCTGTCAATCTCACAGTCGAAGCTTCGCAGTGAAACGAGGATCACGCCATTTTGGTGACATGGGGGTGCTCAATGTCTGATTTTACACAGGACTACCAGTTTTCTCCCAATAAGTTAATATACAGCCTGTTACAATAAACATTTCAATGTTTAATGCTGTAACTAAATATGTAAAAAGAAAAAAACTTTCAATAAATGTTTTTAAAGTGCGTGAATAAATCCTAATTGTAACCCTAACCATGAGGGTCAGTGTGCACGTGTAGGCGTGTGCAGCGGCGGAAGAGGAACACTTGCTGAAGAGAC